TTTTTACGAAAATAGCCACTTTTGCCAGCTCGAACAATTAACGCTCCCTGAGTATTGAATTTTGTGGGAGGGTATCCGAACTGTACTTTAGGGTCATGGAATCAGTAAATTTGCACTTAAGAGTTCCATATAGGAATCTTTTGTTCTACGACTTTTGGAAAAAGCCGCTACTTTAGCGGGAAAAAGCTAAAAATAGCTAAATTTAGTTAGTTTGTAAGTTCTACACTACTAAAGGTACCGACATACCGGCTATACCTCGTTTAAAAGGTATTTTGAAATACTTAAACGCCTTTTTAACTTAATTTGTTTTAAATTTAAATGTATATATTAGCTCCTATGAGAGCAAATGTAAACAAACAAAAACTTCTGATATCAAATAAAAACACCTCTTAACGAGGATAAAAAACTAGTGACGATAGCACCTTCAACATACAAAAGTTCTGATATCAACATTTGTGACGAAAAATTATTACACTTGTCATTAAATAGACTTTCTAATATTTTCTCATTCGGCACGCTGCAATAGAAAATGCCTGTGAAGGGAAAAAGGCTGGAATAGTTTGCTAATTTTTGATTGCCCATTCATATAAATGAGAAAATCGTTCCTATGGAAGATATAGGATATAGTGGTACGATCTGTCCAATTTTTGTAACATACATTTATAATATTTATCTAGATTTTTGGTAAAAGTTTCATGGCGATAGCACATCTAGAAGTATTTATGGCCGCTGCTCCATACAAGCCCACACTCAAAAAAATTTTTTTCCTAAATTTTAGAAAATCGCCATAAAATGAAATTTTTTCTTAATTTTAGAAAATTTTCTGAATTTTAGAAATTGTTTTCTTGAATCTAGGAAAAAGACCATAAAAACAGAATTTTATGGAAAACCTTTCTAAAATTTAGAAAAATGATTTTTTTTCTTAAATCAATGGTGTTTTTTTCCTAGTTTGCTCTCCAAAAGTTTTCTTAAATTAATGGCGATTTCGCCATTAAATTATTTTCGATTGCAGGAATAATTTCAATTTCAGGTATTGTTGATAATTTGGCAGTAAGTAAATAAATTTTAATAATAGGTAATATATTAAATACCTACTTAATATTATTAATATTTATCTTTTTTGTTTTCTTTTCTCTTTTTTGTTTAGGAAATATTTATAATGTCATTTTTATCTTTTTTTGTTTTCTTTTCTCTTTTTTCTTTAGGAAATATTTATTATCTTATTTTTATCTTTTTTGTTTTGTTTTCCTTTTTTGTTTAGGAAATATTAATAATTTTCTTTTCATCTTTTTTATTTTCGTTTTCTCTTTCTTGTTTAGGAAATAAAATAGTAAAATAAATATGTATACATTTTATTAAAATAAAGAAAATTTTCTGAAAATAAAAAAATTTTAAGAAAAAAATTCTATTTTTAAGAAAAGTACTTTCTGGATTTAAGGAAATTTTCTCAATTTTATGGCAATTTTTCTTGATTTTAGAAAAATATTTCTGCTTTTCACAAATTTTTTTCTAAATTTTAGAAAATTCCTTTCTAAAAAATACGGTAAATCGCCATCGACTGAAATTCATGGCGAATTTCTTGATTTAAAGGTGATTTCGGGCTGTTTTTTTTTTGAGTGCAATAACATGAAACGGTGTGTCCTCCGCCGGTGTTGTTTAATTAAAGCAGTCCCAGTTCCCAGAATATACACTAGAGGTCTGCATGAATGCATTCATTTCTCAGTCAACAGTACTGTACAGCAGTGTACTGCACTCAAGTATACTGAACTCATTTCTATCTGAACAGTATTTTCCATAACTCAAAAAATAGTGTACAACATTTTGGTGTTCTCATTTAGAGTGAGTGACAGTAAAAGTTGTACTCTCTATAAGTGAGTTCTATGCAATGTATCGTTTTACAACATTGTACACAAAACAAAATTATGGGTGCATATTGTGTGTTCTGTCAAACAACTGAGTTGCACCTAAGTTCCTTGAAAATTTAGTAGTTTGCAAAGCTTTCTGCTTTTGGCAGCTTCTAAGGAAAACGACTCAAGCGCAATAAATTCGCAAGAATTGGTAAGTGATGATTAAAATAAATATTACATTGCCAATTGAGGTTAATGTATTGTTAAATCCGTTAAATAACTAAATATCTGCGTTTGTTTAGATGATTGTGTTTGTCCTTATATTAGTATAGAGTCGCCTAAACTGTGTTTGTATGTATGTATATAAAAATATGTGGTATTAAAGTATAACTGTGTTAAATCAGAATGCATCGTTGGAGAACTTAAATGAAGCGACCAGTTTTAAGCAACATGCGGCCAATATCAAATGCAAACTATTGAATGGACAATTCAAACTTTCGGCCAAACGAGGACGAAGCAAGGTTTGGGAGACTTTTTCCCGGATAGTCGACGAAAGCGGTGCCGAGCTAAATGATTTCGTTGCGTGCAACATTTGCAAAAGCGTGTACAAGTTCGAAAAAAGCACGTCAAATTTAGTTAAACACAGGTGCTACATCATGACGAGCTCCCGCAACCGCATCCATCCCGATGTTGATGTGGACACCGAAACAAAAAAAAAGTGCACCAAGCTAGTCACTGAATGGACCGTCCAAAATGGCCGACCTTTCAGTATTATAGCAGACTCCGGATTAAAGAACTTAGCACAATTTTTTATTTCTGTTGGTGCAAATGTCGGTCAAAATGTTAATATAGACTCATTATTGCCACATCCAACTAGTGTCTCACGAAACATCGGAGCACTTTATGAATTTCATTTTAATGAAATTAAAAAAGAAATAGTACATTGTAAGGCATTTGGATATAGCATAACCTCTGATATTTGGACAGACGATTTTTTTAAAGAATCGTACATATCCCTGACGATGCATTACATAAAGGAAGGAACCCTTAAAAACCGCTTGCTGGCAATAAAATCGATGAAGGGAGTTTCTTGTACCGGTAAGAATTATAAAATTTGTATAATTGCTTTGGTTTTAATATTAACAAAAACTGTATCTTAGGTGATAAAATAAGAAACAAAATAGAAAGTATTCTGGTCGATTTTGGATGCGATTTATCGGTGGATGCCCCAATAATTGTTACAGACAGAGGATCTAACATGAAAGCTGCATTCAGTGGATTAAATACATTATATTGTGTTAACCACTTAGTACACAATGTTGTTGAAAAAGTGGTCAACCAGGTCCCTGAAATGAAGGAAATGGTAGATCGCTGCAGCAAAATTGTTAAATATTTCAAGAAATCAGGACAAAACAGCAGCCTAAAAAGTACTCTGAAAAGCTACTGTCCTACTCGATGGAATACGATATATAATCTTTTCCAATCAGTTGAGATTAATTGGATGGAAATAACAAATATATTAATGGAGAAAAATCAAATAAGTAGGATGCAGAACATTAACTTAGCCAACTTAAGTGCATTGGTTAGCCTTTTAGCTCCATATGAAAACTGTTCAAAAATACTAGAGGGCAACAGTTATCCTACTTTGCATCTTACTTTTCCCCACATTAACAATTTGAAAAAGATGTCCATAGTCAAAGAAAATGATGTGGAAATAGTCAAAAAATGTAAACTTTCGCTTCAAAACCTTTTGAAGACTGTTGTTGAAGATAATTTAAAGAATTTCCACATGGTCGCTCTCTTTTTGTTTCCACCGACAAATAAATTATCTCAATTTTTAGATTGTCAAAAACAAAAAACCATTGAAGAATGTGAGAAAATCATGATGAATATTCATTTAAATAGCCCAGTTCCCGAAAAAGAATGCCTGGAATCCAAACCACCAATAGATTCAATTTTCTTCGATTACTATCAACCCACTCAAGATACCAGCATATTGTCCCGTGTATCAAATGAAATTGTATCGTATCAAAATATTAACATAGCCTACGCTGAAGAATTTAATGTCTTGCAATGGTGGGAAAACAATAAGGAACAATTTCCGCTGTTATATAAGACCAGCTTAAAGATTTTAGCGGCTCCTGCGAGTAGTGCTGCATCTGAACGTGCTTTTTCAATAGCCAAAAATTTAATATCCGAAAAACGCAGCAAAATAGCCACCAGCGAGGATATGGTTAACAAAATAATGTTCTTGCATTCCAATATTGACGCTTTTAATGAATCCTTGTTAAAATAAAATGCTTAGAATTAATAATCACATATAACAAATAAATATATTTTTCACCCTAGCTAACAAATGTTTTTCTCAATTAAAACTTACTGAACAGTGTGTGAACTGCTCACCAATACAGTGTACTCATTGTGTGCTGTACAATGTGTGTTTGAGTGAGCACAGTAGCTGTCATTACTGGCATTAGAACAATATTCACTCACATTCATTGAAAGTTGTACAGGAAAACTTGCACTCATTTTTAGAATGAATGATTCATTTGACCCTTTGGATGCATTCATGCAGGCCTCTAATATACACGATTGAAATGCTTCCTAAATTCAGTTAAGCATGCTTAAACACGATTTTTTTTAATTTGTCTAATTTTTAGGGAATTTGCCTTTAAATAAGAAGATTTGCCCTTACTTTTAGAAAAATTCACCAATTCACCCTAAAAACAGGAAAATATTTCTCAATTCAAGAAAAATCACCCTAAATTAAACCAAATTTCCATAACGATTTTTTAGTAAAATTTTTCTAATTTTCACTGCGGATAAGATTTATGGGCGATTTTCTTAATCCACGGCCAAAAAGTCAGTTTCTTAGGGCGATTTAGGGTAAAAAATTTCTATGAGTGCAGGGGCGTGATTTTTCTGTTCTTAAACGAAATCCGAAAGCAGAATGGAATCAGACCATTTTTTGGCGGAGATACAGTGAACACCGCAAAATGATATTTTTAAAAGAGCCGGTAAACAAGAGGTTTAAATTAAATTCATCTAACCAGTTTTTATAGATAAAATTGCAAAGTTAGTTCATTTTTTAGTGCCCCATCCCCCCTTAAAGTAAAAATATATTCAAAATTAAACAATTTAAAATCAACTTACTCATTCCCGGAATGGCCATGGCGATTCGACTCAGGATAACGGTCGAGATGCCCACAACGGCCGCCTTCTGTGAAATTCCCATCTCGTTGTTGTTTTCGTCCAATAGCGTGATACCGTTTCGCAGCTCCCTAGAAAAGAGGAGTAAGCCACATTAATTCTTACTACAAAGAAACTTCATACGCCACCTCGAATAATATTTTCAAAAGATATATTTTATAGGTAGAAAATGGGTTTGCCGTTTTTATGACTCGACTATTTCTCTTGCTCTAAATTTTTATAAACAAAATATTTTACATATTTACATAAATATTTTATTTCGGGAATCACGTGTATCCGGCGTACAGAATTTTTTAAATTAAAAATTCCCTTAAAAATAATTTAATTTAAAAATTCAAAATATTTTTCTGAAAGATATTAAGATGTCTTACAAAGTTGGATACCAAATATTAAAATAACTCAAGCGAGTCTCAAGTGCTGCGTAACTGAAAAATCGGAGCTAATTTAAAAATACGTTTTTTCTCAATCAAAATTAATAATAACTGCAAAAAAAAAATTCAAAATATTTTTCCTTGTATTTTTTATGATTTTTTGAATGGAGACATCTCAGTAAAATTTTGTATGAAAAGGAAGAAAAAGCGGCTAAAATAGCTATTTTCAAAAAATAATAAAAAATACAAGGAAAAATATTTAAAAATTTTTTTTTTTGCAGTTATTGTTAATTTTAATTGGGGAACAATTTTGCATCAAAACATTTTTGTTTTAAGCCCCAGGGAAAAAGTTGAAACTTTGACTTTGAAAAAAAATTGTCTAATTTGCTCACTTTTCAAAGGATGCTTAATGGGTTTAGAAAATTTTTGAGTCATTTAAACGGAATTAAAGTGCTCTTACCATAGGTGCCAAAATGTTTATATTATAAGTTCAAAATATGAGTACAGTTAACATTGAAATTTGTGAAAATACTTTTCAATAGGGTTGTATGTTGGTGGAGTCTAAAAATTACACAATATGACGTGGCCGAGGAATCTACCGATGACAACGATCCAGGCATACCATTAAACATTTTACTTGCACACAAACAAAAAAATTCAGAGCAAACACTTTTAGCACCAACAGAAATAAACCAAAATGTAAATTCAGAAGAGTAAAAAAATGTTGGCTAAAAAGTGGCCCATCATTAAACGGAATATTTTTTAATGTGGATTACTGGTTTTTGCGATTTCAGTTCAGTCTGAAGCACTATATAGACGCATACAAAACAAAATATGTATTTGTTAGGAAACTTTTCTAAAATCATATCACCTTTGGAAAAATACTGCACCAGTCTAGAAACTATAATTTGCGTGCAATTCAATTCAAACTTAAAATTGTTGGTAAGCCTGCTGCTTGATTATAAAAAATTTCATATTTGTGCTTAGATGGCTTTAACTTGCGATGGCCGTTTAAAGGTAAAAAACCGAAAATTATCGCTTATTTTTCGATTTTTAATGCGCTAGGTGCACTCCATCGCAAGAGTCATTTGTCAATAGAGTTCCTTGGGTTCATAGCTACATAATCACTGAAGACTTGATAGTGAAATTTTAATCGGTTCACAAGATATGGCCGTTACAAATAAATTTAGTATTTAAAACTTTAACTCGCTATAATAGGTAATCGCGAGCTAAACCAGAGAAACCCAAATGGGTTTTAGCTTATTTCGATGAGTACTTTCTGCCCATGAAATAAGAATTGCGGTTACATTGTTTATGTTGCACTGTGTAATTAAAAAAAAATATTTGGGCATTTTTAAAAAAATGTCCATTAAACAAAATCATTTAAACTTGAATAAAACATAATTGTCCATGACTTTGCCGCAAAGCTATACCGGCCTTTTCCAGTTTTCACTCGGAAGTGAATTTAATTTAATGCTGGCGGATTTAGGTCCTTCTGTCAAATGCTTGCCGGAAAGTTCCCGTGGGAATTTATTGGAAGTTAACAGAGTAACAATGAGAAATATATAAATCCGTGCAGCTCTTTTGGAAGTGAGTCTTGGAACAGGTCTGAGAAATTGGATTCCGTTTGAGTTTTTCGGAAGTGAAAACTAGAACAGGGCTGATAATTTCTTTAGTGATATTTGACATATTATCTTTTCGCGAACAGCATGAAAATATTTGATTAATTCTGCAATTGTTAGAAAACAAACGTAACTTCTTCAGCTGTTGGTTTCTAAGACTAAAAGTGTTGCTCCTGATGCTCATACGTGCCTACACTTAAACCAGCGCGCATCTTAAACAATCCGTGTCGCCTAACTGTTCTTCCCCTACTCTACAGTTATAGAAAACGACAACAAGCCTTCTAAACACTTTTTTGAAAAGTTTTTCCATACAAATTTGTTTAGATGAACTACTTCTTCAATAGGAGGTTATATCATGGCAAATTTCCAGTTTACTTACTGCATCCGCATGCAAGGGATATTTATGCAATTTGCCGCTCCCACTGCTACCAAGGGGACCAGGCGGCCAACAAGCGGATTCATATTCCTCACCGCCCGGTTCAGGGACAGGGCTGTGGCCAAAGCTCCGCCGGTTGCCAAGCAGTAAGAGGTGATCAATTGCCTAGGCGGAGATGAACTTAATTATGGGAACTGCGGCTACGGATCGGTACCTACGGCTGGCTGATGGGGGAGGTGCCCGAGCGGTTCGTGTAGTTGACAATAGCGTTGAACGTCTGATTACACCACTGCCAGAAGACGACGGCGGCCGTGCTTTTGTAGAAGGCCATCATGCCTGGAAAACGATTTCGCTTTTATAGTGCTCGAGTTAATCAGCAGCGCGGAAGCGCATAGTTCAAATGGCGCCAATTGAGCCCCAAAAACCACACTCGCACTCACCGCCGGTGATGATCGTGTTCATGGGCATCTGCGCCGCCATGCGACCTATGACTATCTGCTTTTCGCCTGTCTCCGGATGGAACGCCGAATCGTACAGGTACTTCGCGCGCCATACGTCGTCAATGCTCTTGCACTCGGGCACATCCTTGCCTTGAAGTAGTTTGTGTTAGATTAGGCAGCTTGGGAACTGGTCAGTAATTCTTTCTTACCGGCCCGATACTTTAGCACGATCTGGCGTGCCTCCTCCAGTTTCGCAGGGGAGGCCAGCACGTTGATCGGGTTGGTGAGCAGGAAGAAGTGCTTGGCCCTGCCCAAATACGAGTTCTGATCATATTTCGGCTCGTCGATGTTGACTCTGGGGAGGGGGCTCATGGTCGGGTCGAATGGTGTTACTATTAGCCTGCAAATTATCTTATCAGTAAGAAATGAAATTGGCCACTGAAAGTCGGATGTACGCCGCAAAATCTGGTGTCGAAGCTGAATCTATAATAAAGCGGTCTTCTCTGTTTCGTAAACTATGTTTCCCGAGTAGCCTATGAAAGTTCTTCTTATCAGCCCGTTGCTGATGACCTAACTGTGTCGCGTTATCGCTGGTAAACAAGTTTCTCCCGACAACGTTTTTGTGCGCATATGTACATACGTATATGAAGGCGTAAGAAAACACTGCTTATATGTATACGCCCGTATCTGAGTACATGGGGAGGATTTTTAAAATGTATTGTGAGTGGTCGATAGCCGTGCCTCTCAAGATTATGTATTAAAGAGTACCGAGGGTTATATAATTTGTCTGCGATTATGATAAAATGTTGGGCAATCTACAAGTCTTATCGCAGAGAACGCACACAACAAACAAAAGAACAGGTAGCAGCGCACACACACGAGCCGTACAGAGTGTGTTTCCAGACGGAGCAGCTTTCACCCGCACACGTTGCTACCACTTTGGCAGCGAATGGACGATTGAGCGGAAGACCGACACCGGTTGGAGCTCCAGAAAGCTTTCCCCGCTCTCCAATCGACGAATGTGTATGCGTAACGGTTATTGCTCGGAAAGCTGGAGGGCGAGAAGGCTGGAAAAGGGCGAGAGACTCGGAGAGAGCTTTATTGCGTGCGCGGCATTTAACAGCTGGGCTTGCCAGGTGGTCTGGTCTGGTCACCAGAGTCTGGTCAAGCGCTAACAATTCGGAGTGTAGAAGTAAACAATACCCTGTGTTTCTCTGTTGCACTTATGTTTTAGTTGATTTTTCTGCTGTTGAAGCCCATAAGTAACGGTAAATTTTGAAGTTGCATACATACGAAAAATTTAAAAGGTATTAAAAAAGGTGTCAATGGTTTTTGGGCTGTTTGAAATGAAAGCAAAATCATAGCCATCTTTTTTAATTTCAAAGAACCAAGTCTACATTTAAGAAAATATGCTTAGTTTAAAGCTGTTTTTTTTTTAATGAGAATAAACAAGAGAGAACGCTATAGTCGGGTTGGTGTCCCGACCATCTAATACCCGGCACTCGGCTATAAGGAGTGCGAGGGAGATAGATGTATAGCATTTTTTTGATTGCGTATAACTTTTTAATGAATGTTCCGATTTGAAAAATGTCTTCTACATTTCGATAGGTATAAATATACACAACAAAATTGCATTTATACTTTCGGAAATCTTTAAAGATGTGGGCACCAGACACATTTTAAAATCGTTAGTGTGCGATTGTGGGCGTTAGAGGGGGCGTGGCGCTCGGCTGAAATAAACTTGCGCTGCGTAGGAAGCCCAAGAATATGTGTGGAAAATCTCAACCTTCTAGCACTTGTAGTTTCCGATATCTCAGCATTCATACAGACGGACAGACAAACAGACGGACAGACAAACAGACGGACAGACGGACATGGCTATATCGACTCGGCTAGTGACCTTGATCAAGAATATATATACTTTATGGGGTCGGAAACGCTTTCTTATCCCTGTTAAATTCTTTTGCACGAATACAATATACCCTTTTACTCAACGAGTAACGGGTATAAAAAGAATAAAGTTCCCAACGCAGCATTATGGGGCATTTGACCACCTTGGTTGGCCAAAACCCATTTTTTAAAAGTCGTTAAAACAAAAAATGTTGTTTGATGATGTGTTAACAGAAGACCATTTAACAATGTTACGTTTACAGAAATCCGACAGAGGTCGCCTCTGTTAGGTTAGAAGCTGTTAAATCAGCTGTTCGAAATTCAATTATCGGGCTGCTTTATTTCGACTTTTTGCTTGCAGATTTAAAGTGCTTAAATTTGAGTTTTTAAGCAATCTAAGTAAACTTTTTGGATTGGATTTAAAGGATTATGCTATGTACTAAGTAGTTGTGTGGTTAGACGACAAAAATCAGACGGTTTTTTCTTATAAATGAGTGTTAAAGGGAGTGGTCTAACAAGTACAAGTACAAAATTTTAAATGGAGCAACAAAGTGAGTCCAGCGGATTCCACTTCTGGAACCTATTGGGATTTGTAGATTATTTAATTGTTGTTAAAATGTATATAGACAAAATCGCCACTTATTTCCACTTTTTCTGTAATTTAATTTTTTAGACCATAACCTCAAATTTCACACTTTTGCGCTACAACTTTGCGCAACAACTTGAACAAAAAGTCGCACAAATGTAGAGTAAATTCTTTCCTTTGCACTTCTTTTTGAGAACTGTACGATATAGTCGTACAATTTGTACGAAACTTTTAATATTGTTTTAAAAACTGACATAATTGCTATTTCTATAGTTATGTGCATTTATCTCCAATAACAGCCAAGATAATTTGATCGTTTCTATGGAAGCTATATGATATGGAAGCTATCACTATGGACGGCAGTCCATGTAGTGACGAAGTGCACCAGGAGAGTGTGCGAAGGCGACTACTATTATATAGCCGCAAAATTGAAAATCTGCTGTGATAGTCCGATCGTAATGAGTAATTCACCAATCGAAAGGTATTGCAAAAACTTAAAGGATTGCATACCAAGACCTCAAGAAAATCAATTGGTTTGGGAGAGAGAGAGGTAAAAGTGAAAATTTTGAATTTTGGAGCTGTCGGGGCCGGTGGGGATAAATGCCCCCTCGCAATGTTTTAGTTGTGTTCCTATAGAAAATACTCGTCGAATGAGGGGTCATATGATAAAATCCGACGCTCCGTTAATGAAAATTTAATTCTGTTTGTCAGTTTGACCACTTGTCCAAAATATGTTTTTTAAGTTCTGAAAATTTGATATGACGTTCATCTCATCGATATAAAAAACTTTTGTTCTACCACTTTTGGAAAAACCCGCTAGTTTAGCGGGAAAACAGCTATAAATAGCTAAAATTCGGAAAGCTTCTATACTATACTATACTAACTTCTATACTACTAAAGCTACAGACTTGTGTTGCATCTCGTTTGAAAGGTATTTTTAAATGCTATAAACGCCTTCTATATGCAATTTGTGTAAATGTAATAGTTAAAAAGATATGAACAAAAGAAAATTTGTTTAAACTTTTTTTTTTAGCTTTTTTTTAATTTTCTCAAAAACGGCTCTAACGATTTTTTTTACAACTTTAAACTGTATAGCCCTTGAGATTCCTTAAATTTTGGTATATATCATGTTTATGTAAAAAATCGCGTTTAAAAGTTATTCAGAAACGAAAATAGCCACTTTTGCCAGCTCAGAACAACTAACGCTTCCTGAGCATTGAATTTTGTGCGTGGGTGTCCAAACTGTATTTTAGGGTCATGGAATCAGTTAATTTGCATTTAACAGTTCCATATAAGAATCTTTTGTTCCACGACTTTTGTGCGTGGGTGTCCAAACTGTATTTTAGGGTCATGGAATCAGTTAATTTGCATTTAACAGTTCCATATAAGAATCTTTTGTTCCACGACTTTTGTCGTATATCTATTTGTAATTTGTGTAAATGCAATATTTAAAAAGATATGCACAAAACAAATTTGTATAAAACTTTTTTTTTAGCTTTTTTTTATTTTTATCAAAAACGGCTCTAATAATTTCCTTTAAAACTATAATCTGTATAGCCCTTGAGATTCCTTAAATTTTGGTATATATCATGTTACTGTAAAAAATCACGTTTAAAAGTTAATTAGAAACGAAAATAGCCACTTTTTCCAACTCAGAACAACTAACGCTTCCTGAGCATTGAATTTTGTGCGTGGGTGTCCAAACTGTATTTTAGGATCATGGAATCAGTTCATTTGCATTTAACAGTTCCATATAAGAATCTTTTGTTCCACGACTTTTGGAAAAACACGCTTCTTTAGCGGGAAAAAAGCTACAAATAGCTAAATTTCGTTAGTTTGTAAGTTCTACACTACTAAAGATACAGACATGTGCTATACCTCGTTTAAAAGGTATTTTGAAATACTTCAACGCCTTTAATTCGTTTAAATACAATAGTTTTAAAATTATGATTGACCAATTTAAATTTAAATGTATATATTAGCTCCTGTGAGAGCAAATGTAAACAGACAAAAGCTTCTGATATCAAATAAAAACATCTCTTAACGAATCGTCCGATTTTTGTTAAATTTAATTCGAAATTCGACAATAAAATTAAAAAATAATCATCAAGAAGACTTGAGTGTAGAACTTACAAACTAACGAAATTTAGCTATTTTTAGCTTTTTTCCCGCTAAAGAAGCGAGTTTTTCCAAAAGTCGTAGAACAAAAGATTCCTATATGGAACTGTTAAATGCAAATAAACTGAAACTTTCCCAAAAGTCTTCTTGATGATTATTATACCCTTATAGAGGGTGTTATAATTTCAGTCAGATGTTTGCAACGCGGTGGAGGAGACGTTTCCGACCACATAAAGTATATATATTCTTGATCAGCACCAATAGCCGAGTCTATCTAGCCATGTCCGTCTGTCCGTCTGTCTGTCTGTCCGTTTCTATGCGAACTGGTCTCTCAGTTTTAAAGCCATCGCGATGAAACTTTCCCGAAAGTCTTCTTTCTTCTTCTTCTTCGGAGCGAGCAGGATCGGACCACTATATCTTAAGGCTCCCATAGGAATATTCAAACAAATATAAGAAAATTCATTGTAACTTTGTAGGAAGTAGGCGTTTTGATTCTTGACTACTTATGTATAAACAAAATTAAAATAGAAACGCTGAATCTGGAATCCCTGGAACTGCACAGAGTGAGCATAACTTTATCTACAAGGGTATATAAGCTTCGGCTGGCCGAAGGTAGCTTCCTTTCTTGTTTTTTAATTTTATTGTCGAATTTCGAATTAAAGTTGGGCTCTTTAAGTTGGGACACTTTTAAAATTCGAACAAGAGAGAACACTATATGTGATTACTTCGACTATCAGATATCCGTTACTCAGCTAAAGGGAGTGAGGGAGATGGAGATAAGTAGTCGGCAACAGGCTACCCCCAATTGTGATAAATAACTGCGAGAACATAAACGGACTTATCCGATCTACATATAAGATCGTTCATCCGATACAAATGTTCTCTAAAATGCTTTCCAAACAATTCAGTTTCGTTCCTTGCTGCTGATCCAGAGGCGTATAGAGCTATAACCAAATCACTTATTGCAAAGAAGGTCCCGATCCACTCCTGGCAGCTTGAAGAGGAAAGATCCTAGAAAATAAAGGAAAGTCTAACCTTGCTTGGCCATATTGTTCGATTCATTAATAGAATGCGCTCCGACAAATCAAAGTCTGTCAATCTAGTGTTTGTTGAGCGGGTTATAGTGGAATTTCCTTACAAAAAGAATGACGTTGTCCAATGCCATCGTTGCCAGGACTTTAACCACATAAAAAATAACTGTTTTCTGTGGGGAAAACCACACACAAAATTATAAGGGCCATCTTGTTTGTCTGTCTCTGCACCACGGCCGACTGCTCGATCAGATGTCAATGGAGTCTTATGCCATTGTCGCCAACGGTCCTTCCCGACAGCAAGCCCATTATGTTAGACGACTCCAGCTTCAGCATC